TCAACTATGGTTGTCAACTATTACTGAAACCAATACTAGATACTTTTCTCCCAAGAAATTATGACACAGTATGTACACTTATATCCTAGCGTACCATTCCAAAACCAGCAAGGTTATGAGAATAAATAAATATTGAATTAATAAGGCATTCCATGTGCAAAATTAATTGATCCCCATCCACATACAAAGCATTATCTTACATGCAAACCATCCTCTCTCTGCACACACAAGGAGAGACAGACAGACAGATGAACTGGAAATCTGGGCTCAGCAAGCATAAATGTTTACTTTGAAATTAGTTTTGTTAAATTCATTTACTCTTATTCCCTGGTAAGTATGTATAGGCTGCTATGCTATGGATTGCTGTTTAGCCCCGTTTATTCCATGTAATCTGCAGTGAAAATTAGTGAAGGGATCCTAAGGGTACTTAATTGCTTTGAACTTGTTTACAGAAAAGAAATGGGTTGACCGGTAAGAGGTTTTAGTGCTAAGCTGCAAGCACAAAGAATTGCTTGCATGCTCACCTTTGTAATAAGTTCCAATGAGTTACATGGCTCTTACTCCATGCATAAGTAAGCACGCATACCAGGCGTAGATCTTCTAGTTCTATTTTGTCAGCACGCTATCATCATTCTCATCATACATAAAGTGTAGCTTCTTCCTTATCTGTGTGGATAGCGGAAGCTCTGCATTGCAGACACACATTTTGTACAGGGGGAGGGAAACAAGAGGACAGGCTTGCGTACTCCTTGAAGGGATGGCAGTAAGTTTGCCCTTTCTTATGTGTTTGTTACAGCTATCTGCTTTTATAAATGTATCTCTTTATTCACACTTTTGATTTCTAAATTTCTATCCACTTCACAGCAACTCTGGGCAGTGCACAAATTAAAAACAAAACCTTCCCCAGAGTAAAAGATTATCATAATAAGGGAACAGAAAAATACCACCATCAAACACAACATAATTTAATCCAGGTGGATTCACATCCCAACCTGTCCCTGAGCTTGGGGGAAAAGCCAGGTCTTCAATGTTCATTAAAAAGATGACTATCCTTTGGGCTGTTCAAGTCTCTAAAGACGGGATGCTATTCCAGAAGACCAACAATGCAAGAGAGGAGGGATCTTCTGCCCATTTGCTTGCTTTCAACATCTTTCACAACGATATCCTCAGCAAACACTACCACTCTAAATCAAAGGGGGAAAATATAGTTTTCTGTAGTACAATAGTATACAGAAAGAAATAAAAATTATAGAATAATTCACAGAAGGATTTTAGGAGAACAGTGCTTATTGTTTTATTAAAGACAGTATTTTTCAGGAAACTATATTTAGATAGAAAACCTAAATACCTGATCTAGCTGTTTTCTGAGTAAAAGGATAAGGACTATATATTCTACTAGAATATCTCCGCTAGTATCAGAGATGGAATGTGGCAACCAGAAACAGGTACTTAAGTTACAATAGCCTTGAGAATATTCATCTACCAATTAGAGGCATGCTATATAGTTGGGAGGAATAAAAAGAGAAGACTCCCTACACTAATGCTGATTACATCTATTGTCCCTAGTGACAATAGTAAAACTTCTACAATTTCTCACACTGTGAACCTTCAGAAGATAAGTAAATCTTATAATACCTTGGTGTCTATGGGAAACACTACAAAAGAAGAGGAGCATGTTGTCCCATTAAGCTGGCAAGGATGAAAATGGATGAAGACCTCTTTATGAAGAATGGGCAAACTACAGCCACTCCCAGATTAAGTTCACAAAGGGTTATGTCTGCTGGGAAGGTAAGTGATATTCCCTGAACAAGTAATGGTGAAAGGTAATTAGAAGCCAACAATCA